ACAACTTAACTAGAAATTAGCATTAGTGCAGCTTTAAGTAACTTAAAGCTAAACATCAGGTTAATGATTGGTAGGAATTCAGGAAAAACCCAGCTACTATTTCCTTCTGTGGTTGTATTATGAGAGTAAACATCTGTCTAGTTGAAAAAAAATACCCCATCTTATCCTTAAAAGTTATCATCTATTTTTTAATAAAATATATTTTATATGAACCAGTGACTATTGTCCATATTAAGTAATTTTAATTCAAAATTAATATTTCACAACTATTAGTTATAGTTAAAGAAAGTACTACTTCTAAGTGGCACTAGAGGTTTTTGAAAATATTTTCCAGGAAGCAATTTTAAATTTAGCAATACTTAGTTTTACAACTCTCACAGAATACATAAAAATGTAGGTAATTGTGAATGATTCTTTTAATCAGATTCTCTTCAAGCATTCCATAGGGTATATTAACTTATTATTTCTTAACAATTTATTCCCACATTTCTTTTATACATCTAATGGGTCATAAACCTGTGTTCCAAAATATACTTCTCTCTTACCAAACAGCACCAGAGAGAGAAATTAGGCATATGAAATATATGAGATAAATACATATATAACAGACGTAAGTTTTATAGTCTTCTATACAAAAGTGGAATTCTATGATATGCAAATGATAAATAAAGCTTGTGATTTCTGTTATTGTATATATGTTTCTGATCTGCACCTGAATTTTAATGGATGGCAGAAAAATAGAATCAGCTCAGTCCAATCATTCCTTGGGAATTCAAGGTCTGTTTCATAGTCTGGTTCACAAATAGGTTTTTTTTTTTTTTTTTTTCTGCCTCTTTGCTTTTTTTAAAATATTTTTTTAGTTGTAGATGGACATAACTTTATTTATTCTTATGTGGTGCTGAGGATCAAACCCAGGGCCTCACACATTCTAGGCAGGTGCTCTACCACTGAGCCACAACCCCAGCCCTGCCTCTTTGCTTTTTTGGCCCTGAGAGGTACAGGTAATATGAAGTTGGGAGGGCCTAACATATAAGATGGGTATAAGTTGGTGGTGAGAAAAAGAGCCCCTGTCTGAATCTCTAGTTGGTGTCTATTACTGGATTAGTGATTAGATCTTTATTCTCTATATATGAGATAACTCAATGTTGACTCCTAAGATAACATTTAAAATGAGAGACGTTTCCTGTCTGCACCCAGGGTAGTAGTTTCTTCTCCTTAAAATAAATAAATAAATAAATAAATAAATAAATAATTATATATATATATATATATATATATATATATATATATATAGTTGTAGATGGACAAGATGGACACAATACCTTTATTTTTATGGAGTGCTCAGGATCAAACCCAGTACCTTCCACATGCCAGGCGAGCACTCTACCACTGAGCTACAAACCCAGCCCCCAGGATAGTTTCTTGATGTGAGTGAATTAATTATCTTTTCCACAATCTCAGTTCTTGGCTTTGTCCTATGGCCAAAGCACAAGGTTGTCTACATCCAACCTGGGGAAATCTCCTGACAGAGCCAACTGTTTCTCTTTTACCCCACTTCCTGAGTCTTCCACTTGCACGTGAGTGTTACGGCTCCCCTCCATATCTAACTAAATATTTAATCTACTAAAATGGGAGGTATCTTGCAGTGTTTTGGCTTTTTTTTTTTTCATCTTTAAAATGTAATTAATAATAGCAATTGCTTTCACAGTGATGTTGTAATTAGCAAATGAAATAGTAAATTCCTGGAGAATTTACTAAATTTGAGAATTCAATAAATTTTCTGTCGCAAAAAAGAAATAGTGAAGGAAAAAAGGATGAAAATGTAGGAAAAGAATACATTATCAGCTTTTTTTTTTTTTTTGGTAGTAGGCATTGGGGATTGAACCCCAGGTACTTAACCACTGAGCCGCATCTCCAAGCCTTGAACTTGTGATCCTTGTGCCTCAGTTTCTTGAAAGGCTAGGATTACAGACAGCCATGAGCCACCATGCCCGGCTACTTTTTGTTTTTTATTTTGAGACAGACACTTAATTATTTGCCCAGGGTGGCCTCAAAGTTGCAATCCTCCTGCCTCTTCCTCCAGAGTCACTGTGATTACAGGTATTCACCATTTTACCCTGCTTATCAGCTGCTTTAAACAGCCATATCCTAATAACCTGAGAACCTGAATCCTTTAGTTGCCTCCTAATAATGTCATGGTTGAGGAGCTTGACAATATTAGTAGAATCCCCCAAGCAGCTGGCAGAATACTGCTAATTTACCTAGATTTTTCAAAAATCTGTTGATGTTTTAGACATCAATAAAATTAAGGTTTATTAAGTACTCCTAGTGATTCTTGCAGAGGGGAATACAAAGGAGAGCATATAGTACAAACTTGACATTGGACGGGTCTTCATGTATGCCTCATGAGTTTTTTCTTTTGTCTGAAACAAGGACATAAATGAACATTCTGTGGGAAGAGCTGACATGATTTCCCTACTGTTTCCTATGTGCATCATAAATGCCTTCTGATTAGTAGTCAATAAAGACTATTTAATAATAGAAGCAAAGTCCTAGAGTGAAAATTAATTTTCATGGTCAGATGACATATATAATGAATCTACTTATTTTTTTGTTTGATTAGAATATAATTAATCCTACTTCTAGTTTAGGAAATTAGGTCTTCCAAAGTAAATGTTTTTTTCAGACATTAAACCACTAAAGAATTTGATGACTTTAAAAACTAATAGTCCTTTTTTGGGGGGAAGACCTTTTTGAAATTTGAATTATTATTTTAAAGACATTTCATCTAATGGATTCTCCAGTTTCTCTTTTGATCTTTATCTGCCTTATTAATTGAATGCCCATAAAGATGAATATTAATAGTAGCTTTACTTTCTATGCTCGGTATCTATTGGTTGATCTTGCTTCAAAGTAACTGACTTCTTTGTAGTATTAAGTTACTCTAATTTCCTACCTCCGTGCCTTGTATTTTCCTCTGGAGAAAACCCTTCCAGGGCATGACCTAATGAATTCTGGTTCAAATTTCCAAATGAATCTGAACCAAAGTGATTCTGTAATTTGGTGGAGGGAACCTTCATTAAATACCCTAGTGAGTGAATTTTTACTGTTTTATACCAGACTAAAGAACTTTTCTTGACGTATTGAAATTGAACTTTAACATTTATGAGAATATAAATTGCAGCAGCACATTGTAACATGTCATGGGTGCAATGGAGCCTTAGGTCAAGGGTTTTTACTTTCTTTAAAACTTCCATTAAAAATAGCAGTGTTTCTAATTATTTTTACTTTAAAAATTAGAAAAATGTGTCCTGCTCTCCAGAGAGATGTTATCTTCAGTTATTCCCATAATTTATATGGTTGCTTGGGGTATGTATTTATGGTTTTTATTTGGCTTGACCAAAGTACAAATTCAACTTTATAGGTATGGCTAGTTAGCCTTTTATTTTAAAACATCAATGTGGTTTTCTAATTGACTAAGTTAATTTTGGTTTTCTCATCTTTATTCATGACTCACCTCTGTCATCTTGTCACAAAAGCTTAAGACACATCAGTTTTAAGAGAACATTACTCCATATTACATGTAGGACCTACAACCATTTACTACTCTTGTCAAATCATAATTATGCCATGTGTGCATCTGTAATTGATTTGGCATTTTCCTGTAGCATTTCTTCAATACCTTTCAAATATGGTCACAAGATTCCAGCTCCACATGTATAAGGTCCTTTGATCTTATATTCTACTGTCTTTGAAGAAGTATCTAATGATACATGATGGTATGATCATAAAACATTCTATTTTGTTTTCAGTGGTGCTGGAGTTTGAACCTAGGACACCCTATATCCCCCTGCCCTTTAAAAAAATTTTTTGAGACAGAGTCTTACCAAGTTGCTCAGGCTGGCATCAAATTTACGGTCCTCCTGCCTCTGCCTCCCAAGTAGATGGGATTATAGGAAGGCACTCCTGTACCCATCTTATTTTATGTTTTGAAGACTAAGTAACTGGGTTTGTCAACATCTGACATTTTATTTCTTCTGTTAATAAATTGGCAGAACCTAGTTTTTTTCCTGTGAATTACAAGAATAGGCAGTAAACAGATTTATCTGTAAAATTCAGTGTGCATCTTATTTGTATAAATCAGCTTTGCCACTCATGTGATATCTGTCTTATCACTTATGTGATGTTTGTTCAAATAGCTGACCCAGCTGTTTGAAGGCTAAGGGAATTTAATTTACTGAAAGCTGGAAGGCTTGAAGCAACAGGAAATAAGGTAGCCCCAATGGTCAAGGGAGTGTGATATTGTAGCAATCCTTTATAGGGAGAGTCTGGCCAGGACACAACCACATTGCTTCTACAATGTCAGTGAATTATGGCCATCCTTTCATCTTTCTGTCAGTCAGGAATTAAAATTCCAAGTGAGAACGTTCAATTATCTGAGATTAGGTTATGTTGCCCACTCTAGTGGCCAAAGAGCAAAGAGAGAGATAATCTGGCTTTTTTTTTTTTTTTTTTTTTTGGTGGGGGATAAGGGGGACCATACAAATTGCAAAGGTTCCCCTGAGATAGTGACTTTTCTAGATAGAATGAACAAAATTTTTTTAAACGTGCAAATGTTCACTATTTCCATAAAAAGCTCAACTAAATATTAATTTTAACAACTCACTTTTTTAAAAAGAAGATTTTTCTGAGACATCATGTTGAGATTGGTGTCTCAACATTATGTGGTTAAGCTAAGAAAATTATAACTTTTCTATTTGCTAGTATGTAAATTTAAAATACCGATACCTACTGAATAGGATTATGTTGAGATACTATTTACAATGCTTTAAACATAAAAACACATTCATTGCAAGCACTCAGTTTTCTATATGGGTGACTTACTCTTTAATTGGTGTGATTGTAATTTTTTAAAGTTAATATTTTTTTTGCATGATGATTCTGTTCACCTATCTGCAATTTTAAAATACAAAGATGTAATTTTTTTTTTTCCCTTACAGACAGGCAAGCCTGAATGAAGCAGCAGAGAAGTATTATGATCTGGCAGCCAGGCTGAGGCCTAATGTAAGTACATTTCTAATGAGAAGCATTATTCAGAGGCACAGTCTCAATGAATATAGTTTTGGGATTTCGATGCATCATGATACTAGGGTTTTGTCCTAATCTCCTATTTTGAATGCCAATGATACAGCTAGTCCAACAAAGAAATCTATTAGTCTCAAGCTTCTTCCCCGACTCCAGAGGTAAAATTGATGTTTTCTAGCTGTGTAAAGAACTATAAATTTTTATCATTTGCATACAGGTTTTAGTTTTTCTAAATACTTTACATTTGGATGACTTTTAAAATTCTTTGAAAAGTTTTTTTTTTTTTAATTTTTGATGTGGTATTAAATACCTATTATTTAATTCTCAGCTGTAGATAGATCTTGAAGCATGTATCTTTTTGTCTTTATAATACCCATTTCTGAGAACTGCTTTTCAACTTTATCAAAAAATGTTTTCAGGAGCTGGGGCTGTAGCTCAGTGGTAGAGCACTTGCCTAGCATGTGTGAGGCAGTGGGTTTGATTCTTAGCACCACATATAAATAAATGAACAAAATAAAGGCCTATCAATGTCTAAAAAATATTTAAAAAAAATGTTTTCATTGCAAGTTTTCCTTGAGTAGTCACACTTCTATAACATAAAATGGATATAAATTAGATCATTACTATTGAAATAGAGTAGCTATTTCTGAGAAAATAAGAATGAGTTTTGTATCCATCTTCTAAACATTGTTTTTGCAGCACCTCACTGAATTCTAGCCCATTGTTTTTATTCTCATATGCATTCTGCCTCCCTCTGCAATGCTAAAAATTTCTGCCCTGCTCTCCAGATATAGACCATATATCAAGAAATGTAATTTTAAAACAGGAATGAAAGTACTAGTGTGAGGTGAGTACAAATAATGGGATCAGTTTCATTTCGCTATAGTAGCTCATCTATTGGGCAAACGTCTGTAAAGTGCCTATTTTGTGACTGGATGCAGAGATTTCATATTGTACTCTACAAGACCACACAGTGTAGCAGAGAAGACCCAATGTCATCAACTAATTTAAATACAGTGATATAATGTGGCAGTTTCTCTAGAGGCTGTACAGTCCTCTGGGAGCACAGAAGTGGAGGATTGATGTAGCTAAAAGAGACTTACATGGGAAGTGGGGGGTTTTTTGTTTGTTTGTTTTTTGGAAAGAAAAAGTAATGTAATAAGTCTTCCTTGCCTATCACATGGTTCATGGCAGAGACCTGTGTAACAAAAAACAGATTAACATACACATTTGTTTAATCAATGTTTTACATGTCTCAGAAATGAAGACACAAAGAAACAAGGAAATCTGTGTTTTTGTTTTTTATGGCTGATTGTGTAGAAGTACAATTGGAGAACAAATTGGTAACCTGTTATGATAATTAATTGGAAGAAGCTTAGTAAGGCCTATGTGCTCAGATTCTTTGATGTGTCCCTGTGTCTTCAGAGAGAAGGAAGTTAATGAAGCTCTTATGACTATGTCAGGGGAGAAAATGGGGAGGTCACAGAGTGGGCCTCTTAATTTCTTTTAAGTGCTCAGTATTGCAAGACACCATGTTTTGCAATGACTCTTCTGATTCCCTTCACATTAATTGTGTGATGCTTCAAAAACTGATAAATTCTTTACAACGAAGAAAATAATTTAATAATCCCAATGGTAAGAACAATGATGGCTTAAATGTTTTAAGCATTTATTATATTATGATTCACATTTCTAGGATCTATTGTTCTTTTCTTCCCGTATTTTTTTACTGGTGCATTATACATACTGGTGGGATTTGTTGTTATATATTTCTACATGCAACAGTATCATTTAGCCAATATCACTCCTTAGCTCTTTCCCCTCCCTTGTCATTCCCACCCCTTGGTCCCTTTTCTCTACTGATCTTCCTTTAATTTTCATGAGATCCCCATCTTTCTTTTCCTTTTTCTTCTCTAGTTTCTGCCAATTAGAGAAAACATACAACCCTTAACCTTCTGAGTTTGATTTATTTCACTTAACATAAGGGCTTTAGTTCCATCCATTTTCCTGTAACTGACATAATCTCATTTTTCTTTATGGCTGACATCGTTAGGTTCTAACTCTTGAGTTTTTTCATCCCTTTCTCACAATTCCCATTGGGCAGAAGGTTAGAGAAGTTAAGGATTCACACGGCATCATAATTAAGTGGAATCATGTTGTAATCAAGACCATGGTGCGTATATAAGGGAAAGCTTTATTGAAAAATTGTGGCTATATATTTAAGATGAAATATAAGCGGAAGTCTGGGAAATAAAAATCACCTTACTTATTTAGTAAACATTTACTGAGTCTCAGGCCTTATTATAGACATGGATATACAGGAGTGAAAATAATGGGCAAGAGTGCCTGACTGTTAGGAACTTTTAAATTGTTCCTAGCCTAAGCAGATAAATGAAGGTTACAGTATGTCAGACAGAGATAAGTGCTTGGTTAAAAAAGGAAAGAAAATGAAGCAATGTAAAGAAGTTAGGAAACACAGAAGGGATGGCCTTGTAAATGCCCAACTTGGGCATCTTTGTGCACTCTTTCTAAGAAAAGAATTGATTTTACAGTCTTAAACTTGTTATTGTATTTCATAGAAGGCAGGGATCAGGGTTTTCTTTATTTTTTCTTTTTACACTGATTAATAATTCCTGTATATTAATCATAATACAGGAATTTAATTCAACTTTTATTCATTTTGTGCCATTTGAGGGTTACTTTTATTTTGTTAAGTGGTTGGCCAGACGGGGGTCTTCAGCACAACATCATGGAATAGCGAGAGAAAAGAACTAAGTTATCTGACCTATACTAGAAATGAAAAAGATACTCGGGCACTGCAAATCAAGCCTGACTGTTGAGATTATTTATTCTAAATGACTGGACAAATGATGAAATCAATATTTAATCTCCAACTCAAAGCTATTTTGGGCCCCCAAAATGTTGATTCATAAACATGCTCAAACTTTTGAAAATATATTTATTCAAATGATATTTTCCTTATCTAGTTCTGGATTTTATTAGTCTAGTTAAGTAAGGTTTCACTGAGGCAAGAATGATAAAATATAAACCATAGTAATAATCTAAATTGAAACAATGAGACCTATTTAATAGGCTATGATTTATTAGGAGTTTTGCATTTAATCTAAATTAAAGCACCCACCTAACATCAACTTGCTGTTTACTACCTTTGTTCATAAAGAACAATTCTTTGCAGGCTGGGGGTGTGGCTCAGTGGTAGAATGCTTGCCTAGCATGTGTGAGGCACTGGGTTCGATCCTCAGCACCACATTAAAAAAAAAAAAAAATGGGCGTTATTGTGTCCACCTACAACTAAAACAAATATTTTTTTAAAAAATTAACAGAATATTCTTTATTGTTTATATGCTTTAACTGAATACAATTTAGTTACCTGCTTATGAGAGCATAGCAAACAGACCTCAATTTCCATTCTCTATTTAAGTAGTTCCACTGCCATTTGCATTTTTCACGTCTACATGGTAATCTAATTTTACTCTTATTTTTAACAAAGAATATTCTTACATTTTTAAGAATATCCCTGCAACTGCCATGATTAGGAACTGTGTAGGGGGACTCTGAGAATCTTTTAGCCATATAATTAGGTCAGGTTACGACTGCACAAAATAAAATATGTATACAACTGCTTATTAATGTCATGTTTTCAAAGATTGTTGATTTTCTCTGGGATATAGTTCTTTCCTAATAAAATAAAGTTGTTTCCTTAATGAATTTGTTTTTTTACAAAAACCATGTGGTTCTACATAAATTAGCTTTAAAATTGTTGACCTTTTGATTATTTTACACACAAGGTATTTCAAAGATCAAATGCAAAAATGATGGAAGAACTCTAAATTATCAGACACGATGTAAGTTTTAGACTATGGTCTTGTATCTTCTTCAGAAGTGTTTAGTCTCTTACCATTTACTGAAATGCATAGTTAGAGAATTGTGTATTGATTTTCAGTATATAATCCAGGTATTACTTCAAAAATGGCAGATACCAATTTTTAAATCTTATTTAGTTGATCTTGGGGGTGGTTTCTCCAAAATTAGACCTCATATTATGTGAAAAGATGTTTCTATAACAAGAAAACTTTACCAAAATTCATTTTGTTTTTCTAGCTTTAGTTTTTCACTTCTCTAAGTAAATTAGTCTTTCTGTGGAGTTATTTTAAAAAGACATCAATCTTCTCTGCCTTCTCACCCACTTTTGCACATCAAAAAATGCTGACTCTTGAGGACTGCAGGAACATGAGAATGGAACTGCTTTGTTCTTCCTGTGGGAACTAAGCCAAATTCTGCATTAACTTATGGATTTGAATTTTCTTAAATAGGAAAATTTTATGTAGTACAAAGTCTCCTGCTTTTACTTTTTATCAACTCTGGAGTCAAGAGAAATATAATGACCAATGATCAGATCTTATATTCTTGTGGATATGATTGTTTTTAGTCTGAGCTCATTTCTACTTATTTTTTTTGTTTTAAACAAGTTCCACCTTTGTATGTAAGACTCTGCCAAGTGCAATACAATTTCAGAGTTATGAAAAATTAACTCTGGCCTTGAGAAATATACAAGCTAATGTGGAAAAATAGGGGAGGAGAGAATATGTGAATCCCAGTCCTCATGTGTCAGGGCAGTAAATAATGCTGTCTAATCAAGGCTTCCTGAGAGATAGAAGCTGGTGCTAGCAAAGTGTACTGGAGAAATCACTTGCAGCTGGATTGATCTGAAAAAGCACCAAGTCAGAGTTGGCAAGCTGAAAACGGCTTGAAACAATAGAATGTTTATAGGTGACGAATCTAGCAAGAGGAGAAAGGAGGGAATCCTGGCAGGTAGGTGCACAGACATAAATAAAGGTAGAGGAAGGATAGGGGAAGATAGACCTGAAAATTAACATAAAGCCAGAGCAAAGACATCATCATAAAGATTAGGAGTTTGTATTCCAGAATTTTGTTAAACAGGAAGACATGATGAAAGC